CTTCTTTCCTTCTTTCCTTCTTTCCTTCTTTCCTTCTTTCCTTCTTTCCTTCCTTCCTTCCTTCCTTCCTTCCTTCCTTCCTTCCTTCCTTCCTTCCTTCCTTCCTTCTTTCCTTTATTTATTTTAATGTATTTGGTACAGGGCCTCACTACACAGCTCAAACTCACAGTGATCCTCCTGTTTCAGCTCCCCAGGTGCTGAGATTACAGGCCTGTGCCACCACATCTGGTCTTGGTGCACCTGGGGCAGGGCTGAAATGGCACGTGGTACCTGAGATCGAACCTGGGGGTCCTTGTGCCTGTCTAGGCAGGCACTTAGACTGCTGAGCTATCACTGTGGCTCCATCCTTCCCTCCTTTAAATTTTCCTTCTATTTAGAAAAAGAATGAAGTGTATAGGTATTCTTTGGAGATGTGATCCAAACAACTTGGCTGTCATTTAAAACTGATCTCTCATAATGTACAAAAACTTCCATACAACCCCATCTACAGTACAGTTAAAAAACTAATTTGATTTAAATTTTTCAACATGCTCCCTGACCTGCATTATGTCTTGAAATATATCCAAGTGCCCAGGCAGCAGCCTCCTTGACTCCAGGGTCAAAGTCTTCCAAGCAAATCACCAGTGCATCCAGTGCTCCACAATCAACTATGGCTTGAGCTCGCTGTGGAGAATGTTTACCAACTGCTCTTAGCACAAAGGCAGCTGCTTTCTTGTAGAAACGCTATGAGGGTGAGGAAAACCAAACTCAAGGTGAATTGTACATTCACATACACAAAATATAAAGCAAATTTAAAAGAACATTAAATTGATATTAATATAAATAAACCTCAATTGTTTTTGCATACAAAAGATGAGAAATATTATGAAAAATATTTTGACTATTTTACAGTCCTCAAATGCTTCCATTCAGTAACTAAACTGAAAATGAGGTCAGTTTTAAAGTACATTTCAAATCTTTTACTCTGAAGCATCCACTTAAAAATTTTAGAGAAGAAAGGTTTTCTATTTTTTACAGTGACTACTAAAACTCACTAGGTAAGTAACTCTAAAGAACCTGCTGTTGAAGTCTTCTATTTGTCTAAAATAGTGATATAATAAGAATTATAGGAGAAAAAACATAGATGTATGCTTAACACATTTTATGTTTAAAAATGTATTTGCCACTATAAGAAATATGCTATGTTAAAACTAATGTTTTGATGGGCTACATTGTCCTTAGTTCTTTTAAGTTATAGCAATATTGGTTATGGCTACTAATATTTCTACTAATTTCTGATAAGAATTAGGGTAAAGTTTTCAAGTGACTTTCCATAGATTTTCCTGTAATTGCGTAAAAGTAATGATAATATATTTATTGTCACAACTTTCAGCTAATTATACTTTTTATTTGCAGAATTGTTAAATTACACTTTACAGGGCTGGTGAGATGGCTCAGTGGTCTAAAGCACCTACTTAGAACAAGCTTTGCAAAAAGCACAGGGGCCATGGTTCAATCCCCCAGCACCACATGCCAGCCAGCCCCGCCCCCTGGTGGACTGAGCTGGCCACACACAGACACACACACACACATAAATAAAAATAAAAATAAATACTAAAAAAAAAATACACTTTACAGGTCAATAGTCATTTCTAGCTACAGTTCTTATAATTCACACTTGCTGCTTTTCTTTCTCCTACTTTTTACTTCTAAATTTCTAATGCTCCCCTCTCTTATTCATCTTGAAAAGAATCACTTTTAAAAAAGGAAAAGCAAAACTATAGGACTTTGTACATCATAAAGAGGAGATTTAACCTGAGAGATGATTTACAGGTTGGTAGGTAAAAGAGATCTAAACTTGAAAATAATGCTTTGCACCCTCAATGAAAGTTTTCTAAATGCATTCTTTTCTGTCAAGAATTTTTTGCCTCTTTATAACTCTTAATCCTCTACTGAGGACCTTCTATGTGAGACAAAAAAACACAGCCTTTGTTCTCAAACAGAAGCACTAATAATCCAGGAGGAAAGATGTGTAACAGTATTTACTAAAGAAAAGAATACCTACAACAAAAATAAGGTGGAGGCATTAATAAATTATCCTTGAATCTAGAAAACATTTTTGAATATTTAGAATTTATTTCTTACATTCTGGTAAGATACAGGTATCACAAAAATGGACTGGCACACACCTACAATCCCAGCACCTGAGAGGCTAAGGCAGGAGGATTGCTGTGATTTAAGGGCAGCCTGGGTAAGAAAGTGAGTTTAAGGGAAACCTGAACTGCAGAGTGAAACTGTCTCAAATACTCTAAATAAATAAATAAATAAATAAATAAATAAATAATAAATAAATTTTTAAAATGCAAAATTCAGTGTCATATACTACAATTGCAATGTTGTACAAGCATCACCACTATCTAGTTCCATTGCATTTTCATCTCCCCACCAAAAAAAAAAAAAAAAAAAAAAAAAAAAAATCCCTTATAAATTAAGCAGGTCCTGTATTCTGGTTCATTTCCCCAAAAAGATCACCACTTAGCTCTATCTAAATGGATTTCCATATTCTTTATATTTCATCTAAAGTGTATCCTATAATACAGGTCTTTATATTTTGGATCTTTCACTTGACATATTTCCTAAGAGTCATCAATGTTATAGCATTGATCAACACACTACTTCCTTTTATGTATGTATTATAGTTTCTTGTAGGTATATACATTTTGTTCATCTACTCAGCTGCAGATGGACTTGGGATTCCTTTCACCTTTTGGTTAATGTGAATAATACTGCCTTGCATATTTGTGTATAAATTGTTTTTGTGTGCTTGGCTTTTGCAGGACTGAGAACTTTAAGAGTCCTGTGCATGCTGGGCAAGTGCTGTACCACTGAGGTACATCACCAGCAACTATTATTTTTATCTTGAAACAAGGTCTCACAAAGTTGACTGCTTTGGCCTTGAGCCTGTGTATTTCATGCCTCAACCTCCTAAGTAAGTAGACTGTTATGATAAACTAGCTGGGTAGAATCAATAGCCCATGACCTTATCTAAAAGGACCCTTCCTCTTCCTCTTCCTCCTCTGCCTCCTCTTCCTCTTCCTCATCCCTACCCCTCTCCCTCCCCCTCCTCTTCTTCCTAATGTATTTTAGTACAGGGACTACAAATTATCACTGCACAGCTTGGACTTGTAGTGATCCTCCTGTTTTCAGCCTTCCAAGCTCTCGGATTAGAGGTGCCACCATACCCTGTCTTAGTCCCCATCTCACTGTGCCCAGGGTGTGGGGCTGGCAGGGCACACCTGGGGAACTTTGTTCACTGAGTCTGTCTAAACAAGCGCTTTAGTCCACTGAGCTATTTGGCTGCCCCTAAAAGGATTATCAATAATAATTTTTTAAAAGTCATTATATGGATAAGTAGAATAGCACCATATAGGAAGGGAACACATTGGGGTATTCACAGACATTGTCAAATCATGTACAAACACTTGTTTACATAGTAAAAACTGTTTTATCAAACCTTCCACTAAATATATTTTCTCCTTTTGATTGTTTCCCTACTCTTTGATTCAAAGTTCTCTAGATACAGTACCATAGTTCATTAGCATGTAATATTGCTGAAAGCAATTATTTGTTTACCTAAGGCCCTATAGTCTTCCCTAAGTCATCCTATAACTTTTTAAAATTCCTGTATACAAAAATACTGCTTAGCTTACAATTCAACAATATTTATATCAATTATCTCTTTACATTAACATCAAACAATGACAGCATATTATCCCAAAAATGAAGTAATCTAAAGATGCTATGCAGTTTAGAGAATTCAGGTTCTATTAATATTCTGATAGTTATAGAGCTTACAAGTTTATGACTATGCCCAAAATATCAAGTTTTAAAAAATAAATATACTGCGTAAGTTTTTTCTTTAAATCTTACATTCTGCTCTGCCAATGAATAAACAAGTTGTGGAAGGATGTCCCCCTTTACAACTGCTTCTGCTAAGTCATCACTGTAATTAGCCAGTCTCCCAAGAGCCAAAGCAGCAGTGTGTTGAATTGTTGGGACCACATCGAGAAGCAGAGGCCTCAGCAAAGATATTACACCTGTGATAATTAAAAAAAGAATAGAAATCAGAAAAATTTAAATTAAAAAGCTAAAAAAAAAAATTTCTGGATATATTCCATCAAGAAAAGTAATGGTATTAAATCCTCCAAATCCCAGTCCAGTTCCCAAACCAGTACATAAACCAGTACTACTTCCCGTTGTTGTTCCAAAACTGGTACCAAATCCAAAACCTTTGTTCTGAGTACCACCAAAGAGTCCAGTAGTGCCTGTGTTAGTTGGGGCAGAAAAGCTGAATGCAGAACCTGCAGCTGTAGATGTTGTCCCAAATCCTCCAAACCCACCTGCGGGTGCTGCGGTGGCTGCAGCGGTGCCCGAGGTACCCAAAGGTGTCCCAAAATTGAAAGCCATGTCGCAGGAGCCGGCCTTCCTTAAGAATGAATCTGACCACTTGGCGAAAAAAAATAAAGAAAATAACACTCTTCTGGCTTGGATTTTTAAGGAGATTACCAACAATTTACTCTTCACTAAGTCTGAAATAAACTAGTCACCTCACATTTCTTCAAAAATAGCCTTCAAAAAATTTACATCTAAAAAGCTGTATATACTTTAAAAGGACAAAGGAACATAATTAACATTTTTACAGCAGCATTTTCTTAAGCATCACAGTAATTATTAATCTCTGTTCTTTTTATGGCAAGTAAATACAAAATGTGTTCTTTGCATATAACTATAATTACTTGGCTGTTGAAGATTTGAGATTCAGAGTGTAAATGGGACATCAGTTTTTATATACGTGAACTTAAGTTGGGAGGAGTAAAGAAAAACCAAAAGTATTTAATGATTAATGTGGTTTTCTTTTTGTTCTATAAGATGTGAAAATATATTTTTTTTATTATTTGGAGTTTATAGAATACATCTAAGCAATTAGGATAACAGAATGACTGGTTTTGCCACTTTGTTTTTTAAACCTTTATTTCTAAAAATGAAAACGTTTAAATAAATTCTTAATTTGTAATTTCAAAAAAAAAAAAAGAAAGAAAAGTAATGGTAAAAGTCAGTAAAAACAGAAATATCCACTAAAATCCAATGGGATACATAAAGCATCTAATGGATGAAAATATAAAACCATATAAGCTGTAGTTATGAAATAGGCAACACAACATGGAAACAAGAAATTCTTTGAAGGTGTCAAAGAGTTAAAATCTTTAATTCAGCAAGTAAATAACTATGTGCCTGATAAAGTTGTAAGGAGGAATGCAGAGGAGGCAGAGTATGTCTAGACAATGGCCAGCAGGAAAGAAGACAGGGTAGATTTTCCCTTGAGGATGTTCAAATCCTTTTAAAATATGTTGTCCCGGGCCAGCCAGATAGAACAGAAGACTAAAGCGTCTGCTTAGGGCAAAGCTCAGCAGCCAGGGTTCCATCCCTGGCCTGTTGTGTCAGCCCTGCTCATGGGACATGCTGAGACAGCGATTGAGAGTGGGCAAGGTAGCTCACACTTATAATCCCAGAGTTTGGGAGGCTGAAAATAGGATAATCACTATAAGTCAGATTTATGTAATGAGATCCTGTAGACTCTGTACTAAATACTATATATATATATTCCTTTCTTCTCAATGAAGTCTTAAATGTGGTCTCTTTGATTGAAACTTAATGCACTTTATTTTGGAAATCTGATCACGATCTTTCTCAGAGTCAAGGGAGCTAGGAGGGCCATTCAGCTAGGAACTCACACTCAGAAAAGGTGGCATGACTATTACTGCCAAATACATTCCTTAGCATACAGAAGTAACACTGTGTTACTAGTTCTTATAATATTTATCCTAGGATTGAATATGTTAAAAGAATATCGCAACAATAAGAAAAGTAACATTTATCAAGCACTTATTATATCCAAGCACTGTTCTATGGAATTTTTCCTATTTTAATTCACCTAACTTCTATAAGCAATTGATGAAGTAAACTCTATTACTGTACCTATTTTATAGATGAAGAAATTGAGACTGAGAAAATCTAAGTGATTCACACAACTATTAGATGGCAAAACAAGGTTAGAATTCAGACATTCTTTACTTATATTATTAAATATTATTCATTAAAAACTGAGGGGCACGGAAAGAGATACTAATAATTATTAACCTTTGTTATTTGATTACATATTCCAACTCTTTTCTTTTTTAATTTTATATATTTGGCACAGGATCTCACTAAGCAGCTTGGACTCATAGTGATTCTCTTGTTTCAGCTTCTCCAGTGCTGGGATTAAAGGCATGTATCACCATGCCCTGACCTGGTGGCACACCTAGGACAGGGTTGGCATGGCCTGAGGTACTGGTTATTATACCCAGGTTCTTGTGCTTGCCTAGGTAGGCACTTAAGTCAGCTGCACTATCTCCAGGGCCCAATATTCCAACTCTTTACATGAACATTCATTACCATAAAGATTGTAAAATTGTCAACTGTTAGCTTTGCTTCACTGATACTTTTTATAGCCTAAGGTTACAACAAAGGTAGTGACAGAATTCAAACTGGAAAAAAGTAACCCTCAACTTTCTAAGCTTAATCTATACCAATTTAATAAGGTTATTATTTCATGTCTTTAAAAACACATCTAGGGGCTGGAGAGATAGCTCAGTAGAATAAGTGCTTGCCTGACAAGCACAAGGTTCTGAGTCCAATCCCCATCCCCCAAAAAGAACAGTATTTAAAACCACATCTTGATGATATATAAAAACAAATAACGGGTGCTGGCCAAGTAGCTCAGTGGATTAAAGCACCTGCAAGTAGGTACAGGGGCTAGAGGTTTGATCCCCAGGCTGGCAGTGCTACCCTCACCATCAGGGTGCGCAGAGATGGCAATTGAGACTGGGCATGGTGGTGCAAGACTGTAATACCAGCTCTTGGGAGGTTGTTAAAAGGCAGATCACTATCAGTCCAATCTAGTAGTGAGACCCTGAACACCCTGTAGACCTTTACTTAAAATACAGAAAACAACAATAACAACAACAACTAGCATTACACTGTTTTACTATGTCATACCTAGACACATTTAAAATAGAAATAAAGAGGAGGGCATTTCAACATGGCTGAAAAGTGGAGGAGCTACATTGGAACTACCCAGAGAAAATCAACTAAAACACAGGTAACTGGATGAAAGGCAGAGACATACATCCTGATGCCAAAACCAATCTGATATTAGAGACTTGCAGATCAAACAAAACATAAGACATAGGACTTTATAAAATGGTAAACCCCACATGGCTACCTATGAGACTGCAACCTATATGCTGAACAGTAACTGCCATTGTGGGAGGTTTCCCAAAAGATGGATGGACTGATATAGTGTGGATAATTGAAGTCACACAGGATAGATTTGGGATAAAAGGTCACTTTCAACTTTTGCCTTGCTCCAAACAGAGGAATCTGTAGCCTGGCAGCAAATATCACTAGCACACACAGAGGCCAATGACCAGGAACCTGTTGCTCCCTGTTTTCTTCTTTTTTGTTTTTGTGCATCATAGCAGCTAAGTGGAACCTAAAGCAACAGAGAGGTTAAGAATTGCAGTGAATCAAACATAATGACCCCTCCTAAGCTGTGGCAAGTGGTGCGAAAGGATTTAAGAAGAGGGATATAAGCAGCTTAGGATATCGTGTAATAGTGAGTAGAAAGTCAGTTCTTCCACTGTGAGAGAGGAGAGACTGAGCAACCTTGGGCTGCCTCTACAGTTGCTTCAAGGTCAGAGAGTCCAGTAATTAAATACCACACCATTCCTATTACCATCAAAGGGGAAAGGTAATGTATCATTGGGTGTGGAACACAGGAGGCTGTACAAGGACCATTAGGGGCTGCACAACTGGGAGCTATATTGGGCTCTCTCTGACTGAGGGCACCACAACAACTAAGAGCAGTGCGGAGACTAACATGGTATGATGAAGGCAGGAGACAAAGGGCCATCTAAAAAGCTTCTGACCAAAGACAGGCCCCAGCCTTCCCATTCAGAGGCCAGAATCAGCCCTGGATTGAGGAGGAATCCCAGAACAGACTTGGTAGGGTTCCCAAGCAAAGTATTGGTCTCTGACTTGCACACTACTACAGAACAGTGGACGCTAGAGTAATTACTTTGGTTTTGTTGTTACTGTGGTTATTATTGTTGTTTTGCTTGTACATTGTTTTCATTATTTTAGTGTTTATCTTATTTTTTTCTGTCTGGAATCTTTTTGGTTGTTTACATATTTATTTTTTTATTTGTTTTGTACAGATTTTTCTCTATTTTCTCAAATTTAAGTGTTGACTTTTCTTTTTTCTTTTTGATGTTTTCAGGTCAGTGAATATTGTCTCTCATCTTCTGGTTTGCTTTGATATTCTTTAGTTGTATCCTTCAATTGTTCTTTCCTGTTTTCTTTTATAGTGTCATAAAGCTTAGATAATCTTTGTCTTTCACGCTTGTTTCAACTACATTTCTCTTTATCTCTCTGTTTTGTCTTCTATCTCTCTGAATTCTTATCACAAATTGTAAAATCACTCCACTAAGATGAAATTTATTGGATACAAGTTCCTGATTTACATTGGATTTTGTAATGTAAATACAGACCTTGCCTCTTTGATTAAAAATAGTTTAGATTAAATATGTGGACCAGGGGGGCAGAGAACAGGTGAATGGCTAGGCCCAGAAGAACCCAGACTCATGGCATGGAGAAGGCATGAAGGAGCAAGGGGAACTGGTCTTTGTGTCTGCCCTCAAGACTCCAGTTATGTGGTGGGGAGGTGCTCAGACTGAACTCAGGGGAATTAATTAACACACAAATTTACAGCACAAAGAGTATGGAGACCTGGGCCTAGGAACAGTCTGGTCCAAGCCCAGGTACAGCAAGGGTGAGACCCATTTCTGCTCCCTTGGAACCCCAACAACCACTGATCAATCGCCCTCCATGCCTGCCAAGTGAGTGAGAAATTCTGCTGCATTCTTGGGACCCCAGATCCAGCCCTAGCCCAGGCTCAGTGAGTGTGTGGGAGAGATTCAGCTATGCTGCACCTGTG